AACTATAACAAACAACAGAATAAAGAATCTCCTCTTTAGAAGTCCATTATTTTTTACCTACTTCAAAAAATGGAGGAGGCGCTTTCATTTTTATTATTTTCTAAATAAATAGTTATAGGTATTATACTGAACCCACTCTACTTATAATTCGGTACTGACAAGTTTTTTAGTCGAATAAGTGGGTAAAAGCCGTGACCGCGAGGGTACCGGAGTGACAAAACTGGGGACATCTTAAGGGGAAGTTTGCTTTGGTTTTGGTAGAAAAAATTTATATATGCCTATGCGCCTTAAATTTTCTCAGTCACACCCATTTGCCCACCGAACCTCATAATACTTAAACTTCAACCCCTCTAGGTAATATGCTTAAGTTACGAGTGGGCCCCATAATAATAGTCCAGCGACGGCGGTGTTCGAACCAGAGTTATTATTATTATTGGTTTTTGGGCCTTTACTTGCGCCAACTCGACCAGTACCTCTAGTAGGAAAAACTTTCGAGTTCGTTTCGTTGCGTATTCAAAGTGTCATCGAAAAATTTTGTATGAAAAATTAAACAGCGCCCCCTAGGGCGGCTATAATATAGGGGGCGCTGTTTAATTTTTCATACAAAATTTTTCGATGACACTTTGAATACGCAACGAAACGAACTCGAAAGTTTTTCCTACTAGAGGTACAGGTTTGATCTATTGTGACAGCCCTTGTCTTTAGAGTTCACTGCTTAGTCCCGTTGAGTCTATAAATTTCCAGATTCTTTGGAACCAGAGTTCCTCAGATCTCAAGTGACCAGCTCGACATCTTCACCGTTGGGCTATCTTGACTTGAAACTGAACCTGGGACTCACTACACTCAAGAAAACTCCTCACGTTCCTATATTACAAGTTTTTACTAAAAGCTAACCTTGACTGATTGATCTCTTCTTCTTCTTCTTAGTCGGGCGCTCTTGTCAGAGTGGTCGTGGTTGCGCTGACGAGGTACATGGTGGGGTGATGTCATCTCCGAGGGTAGCTCTCCTGGCGATGTGCTTCCATTTCTGACGGTTAGAGGCGTCGCGAGTACACTGGATCATGGTGGACTCAGTGGCCTTCGTGATGGCTATACTGATTGATCTATACACAACTCAAAACACTGAACAAATTGCGCTGAAAGACGGAGATATTTATTATTACATAGGCATCCGTTATACATAATGTACTTCCAAAATGCTCCCTCTAAAAGGATGAAACTGGGTCCAAAATTTAACACAAGTGAAGCCGCGGGCAAAAAACAAAAGCTAGTACAAAAAAAGAGGAATATGGTTTCCACAATGTTATTAATATTGTATTATGTGTGAACGCGTGAAAAACATTATATTGGTATTGTAAACGTTTTATTATTACAAATATAAAGCATTTATAATGCATTGTGCAGTGAAAGTTGTAGGATCTCATATTATACTATTGTTTTTCTCAATATATACCTACTTCATTATATTGACGCGGATTTAGTTTTACTAGATGTGATTTGATTTTAATACATTTGGATAGAAAAATGGAAATAAACAGAACAATAATACAGTACCTATAATGAGAAATGTTTTAATTGAAAGGAAGAAAAAGACAAAAAAATTAAGTATGTTAAAATATCGTAAAAGGCTACTAAAGGACTATGAGAACAATCAGGCCTCCCCAACCCGTCTGGCCAGCGTGGGGAGTGTAGGCCAAATCCTCCATTTGCCTCGGGTAAATTAGAGGGTCGTGCTCGTGCAGTGGAGCGATCGTGTAGACCAGAGCCCCGATTACGGTAACTTTTAACGTCTACAATCCAGACACGCTTCATCGATTCTGCGATACGATTGGTCGTTCAACAGCGTACGTGAGCTGTTTTGACCAATCGTATCTCAGAATCGATGAAGCGTGTCTGGATTGTAGACGTTAAAAGTTACCGTAATCGGGGCTCTGTAGGCCTACGATGCGCGCCACGACGATTAACTTTTGTCTAGACATTTTATCGATTATGCACGATAAGCCCATTATATGCCTATACATTTGAAATCTAAAATCGATAAGATTTTATCATGACGCGCATCCTAGTCCGGCTGATGATGGATACCGAGAAGAGTTTGTGACATTGTCAATTTTTTTTATACTTACCTATTTACTAGCTCGTCACAGTGCGCGTTTTTAGGTCAAGTTTCGAGCTAACAAATATTATGCGCTGTTAATAGGTTGCCAAAAATTTACAATGTCAACTCTCCTCGGTCTCCCTACACGTTATTTTCTTGAGATTTTCAAAGGTGGTCTTTATAAAAGCCGCTTCCAGCAGCTTTAAATCTCCACAGCAATATGTCGGATCCGCCTCAAGCGGTCTCGAACAATGGACGATTACTTTTACTGCTTATTGTCGAGTTAGCTCGCCTTAACGTGCCTACAAGCTATTAAAACACCTTCTGTTACAAGCTGTTTTCAAAATCTTTGATGCGGTTTTTGTATTTTAAATTGTAATCTACGTTGCATAAAGTGCACGCTAAAAGTAACTGACAAAATATAGAGTCCATGATACGAGACTATTCCCACCTCTCATTCCCACCGCTGCAACTCCTGTGTAGCCAGGATCTACAGCTTAACCGCCAACAACCCAACCAGTGAAGGTCAATTTTGTCCCGGAGGAAAGAATGGGGATGTTGCCTGGGTCAAAAAGCAAGAGTTTTAATTAGTCCGTCAGTTAACTTATCAAAAAATACTCTACACGTATTTTTCACTTTTTCAAACTAATAAAAATTTAAAGAGATAAAGCGCCCCAAAGTTCATAAGAAGAGGCCCGTGACGTCAACGCTTGCTTAAAAATGCCGCACGTTGTGACGTCGTGCGCAACTTCAACGCACCATAACTATGTAATTATTTGTTAGATGGACAAATAAAAATATATGTGTCCAATATGTTTTGATATTAAACATTACGGACTAAAAAAATTTTTTTAGGCAACTAGCCTAATGAAGATCGCGGAAGCACCTGGATGCGGGCAGGGCAGGACCGGTCGTTGTAGAAATCGTTGGAGGAGGCCTTTGTGCAGCAGTGGACGTCATTTGGCTAAAACAGTGTAGGTAGGCCATTGGTAACTCAGCAAAAATCTTGTCAGCTCTAGGGGTGACGCAGTTTTCTACATCGATTCATTGTGTTACCACAAAATTGCGCTATAGCGCAAGAAAATTAACACTGTTTGAATAGGCTTCGAAACTACTGGACCTATTTTGAAAAATCTTTCAACATTAAAATCTTTTGATTTTAATACTTACGTACTATTATTATCTTTGTACCTACCTATATCTACCCGTGCGAAACCGGGGGCGGGCCGCTAGCTACGTAATAAAGTCAGCGTTGTTTTTGAATGTGTAATATTTTGTAAACTCACATTACATTTTTGTATGGAATTGATAAAAACATAATAGTCTTTTGTGTGAGAACAATGCGGTCGTTTAGTCAGAAGTCGATATTGTGATCGCTAGTCCGAGCCCGCGGGTTCGCTTACTTTGTATGTAACACTTTAGAGGTCGCGGGTTCGATACCCGGTGAGTGCAACGTGTGCATAGACAATGGACATATATTATTCTATCGTTATTTTAGAAAATATTTAAACCCAGGTTTGTCTACACTGGCTTTTGCCCGAGGTTTCACTTGCGTGAATTTCAGTTTGTCACAAGAAACAACATCAATTTAGCCCTGAAAATACAAACGACATGGATTACAGCTGTACCTATGTATAATTCGATTTTGAAATCGATAAATAGTTTGTCAATTTAGTTGACGGAAATCATTATACCTACATAGCTAAAGAATTGTAAGGGCCCTCGCCCACGGCGACTTTTTGTCGGGCGTTTACGAAACGCTACTAACGCGCGTTAGTAGCGTTTCGTAAACGTAACGTAAACGTAACGTATCGCTACAAAAAGTCGCTGTGGGCGAGGGCCCTAATACAAAATGAATGAGGATTGGTGCGTTTGGACATTTCATAAAAGTATATCTACTAAATTGACTGGTGGTACATGGACTCTTCCTATGTTCTTCTGGTTGATTTCGTTGCGGCTCCAATGACAGTTTATCTTTCTTCCGGGACAAACTTGGCCTTCACTGGTTGGGTTATTGGCGGTCAAGCTGTAGATTCTGGCTCACAGGAGTTGCAGCGATGGGAACGAGAGATGGGTATTTTTCATTTGCGGCCAGTGGTCGCCATTCGAGAACTTTTCTGCCTTTCAGTGTACACTGTACAAAGAATTAATCAGCGTGTGTTCATTGTAACCTTCAAATCGCGATATCAAATCATCAAATCGCTCGTCAATCGAAACCGAATCGACCGAAACTTCGGAGTACAAATCCTGCATCCCGTGTACATTCCACGCCAAATTATTTTGCGGTTACCAAAGCCAAATTCACGGAATAATATCCCTTACTGCTTGGAAATAAAAGCAGTTCAGATTTTAGGGGGCCGCAAAAACATTTGTACGAGTAAATCGAGAATCGCATATGAATTCGTAAGTTTTTTTGTTCCGATTCTATCGCATTCGGTCTAATCGAATCCTTCTCGGTATCGATGATTGGTTGCATTGATTGACGTTTGGTAATCCGGGAGTTTTCGGGAACCTGCAGTTCTGGGTACTTTTTGGAAAGGCATTTTTTCAATTAAGGCTTCGTGCGGTTTATTAAAAGTAAAATTAGTTAATAAAAGTTTTATAAGTTTATTAGAATTTCATTACTTCGTCATTTCAATAATAAAATTCAAGGATTTGGTTGTGGCAATTAACGTGTTATTTGTAAAATTTTCCACACAAAACTGCAATTTCATAGGTCAAAGGCCTTCACAAAAAAGTTTAGTTCACAAAAATAGACATTCTGAATGTCTACAATAACTTGAGTAAAAAATTAAAATTTGTCACCTCCTTGCTAATTAAACCTCTTACATCCTTGACGGACAAATTTATAAAAAAATACACGTCAAAAGTCATCGACTGTCAAAATTATTGTTTACTCGGCGCAGTGATGTCGCCTTCTAAATTTCTGTGTCCATTATTTATCAATACAGTAAAAGAGAAAACATAAACATGGAACCTTTGGAAGACGAGAATTGCCAGGATGTCTTCGAAAATAACGATCAAATCTTCGAAAGCGATGAAGAAATGAAAGCATCTTTAAAGAACTTATGCTACGGAGACCTGTGCATGATCGGCAAAATATGGATCCAAGCGCTAAAAGTTGTTTTAGTTGGAGCCAAATTCAGCTTGATACCTGTAGTCCACGCTGCGAAACCCCCCGAACCGCCGAAAAAGCCCCCTAAAATGAAGTACAAAGATCTACCCATATACTCAAGCCCGCATTACGATTATAAGGACTACGTGGAAAGCAAGGATAAATGCCCTGATAGGAACGTGAAATTAGTACACAGAGCTTTATTACCTCATGTGAAGAGTTTGAGGCAGAAGTCTATTGAAGCTTACTGCAGTGCTTGCTGTTCTCTTCGCTGTACCTTTGGAGACATGAGGAATTCCATTAACGACTCAAAAAGGGAATTTAAGAAGACCATGAGAGATCCTTGCAACCTCCAAATGAGGCGGGGAGTGGTGGCAGCTGGGACTCTAGCTGGATATCTCTTAGGAGGTGGTGGTGGTATACCAAGACGAGCATTCTTCACAAGTTTGGGGGCGCTTGCTACAGGATCTCTTTGCTTCCCGAAGGAGACCGATGAGATATTCAGAAATGTCGCATACCACACCGCTAAAGTGGCATTAACGCTCTATAATGCGACTTGTCGCAAAGACTTCGCGTTGAGGGAGAGACTGCCATGTAAGGATGAGCTGCCTCCAGAGCCTAAGCCGAGGAAGCCCGTGTGTCCTCCGAAGAAATGAAGAGTTCAGGAACGAGTCAGTGATTGGCCTTGTAAACAATAGTAAGGAATAAAACAGTATATTTTAATAACTTCGGTGTTTTTCTTACGTCATTGCTCAAGTGAAAAAAAGTTATGCGATGGCCTGGCTGGTGTGTAACGAATTGCAACACTAGGTTCAGTTGCAAGTTCAAATCCTGTTCATCATCATCATAATTATCATCAGTTGATTTAGTCTCTTCCACAGGAGCGCGACTTTCTCTTTGCCAGAGGCAAATGGAGGATTTGGCCTACACTCCCCACGCTGGCCAGACGTGTTGGGGAGGCCTGATGTTCGCGTATTGTCCTTTAGTCGCCTCTTACCACATCTATGGGAAGAGTGGGGTCATGTTTCACTCTGCTGATACAGTCAGCGTCAAACATTTTATTTATTTATTTATTTATTTATTTATTATTCACTAGCTGACCCGGCGAACTTCGTACCGCCTTAGCGTAGAGATTTTCTTAATATTTTTTTCCGTAAGAACCATCCTTGGACTTCCACAAACATTTAAAAAAAAGAATTATCGAAATCGGTTCAGCCGTTCACACGTGATGCCGTGACAACGCGAAACGGGTTTCATTTTTATATATATAGATTATTGAGCAATTACATATTTGATCCAAATAGCGTCCTAAATCCTTTTTAGGTTTGTCTAGACACTATTGTTCTCTATACAAATAAAAACATGACATCCAAAGTGACCAAAAAGTTGACAATACTAGGGTTGTGTTCCCATTGTAACAAAGACGTGTTGCGAACTTTTTGGCAAATTTGGGTGTCACGAACTAATTGACGCTGACTCAAAATCAAAAATATTTATTCAGTTTAGGGCTGATTTTTCAATCCTCAGATATCTTAAAGCTGAAGAATAAACTTGTCAATTTGACATATTTCCCATACTGAAACTGTCAATGTGCCAAACTTATTCTACAGTTAAAAGTTATCCGACGATTGAAAAATCAGCCCTTAGACCACAAGTGGCACTTATGAACGTCAAAATATAGTAAAAAAGAAAAAAGAAAAGGTAGCCCTTATGGGGCCATGTCTCCTTATCTTTTGGGCCCTACCAGAGCATCGAGACAAACATATGGCAAGTGCTGAGAAGAAACGCCGAACTGTACGACAAAGCTACAGATTTGGTGTATGACTACGGAACCCCGATTTATCGGGGCATTGACTATTAATTACATAAACAGCTAAAACATGTCAATGTTGGAACAATTCATTCATTGTTATCGAGACTGGGTACCTATTTATCGGAATGTACGGTCCAAGGTACAAGCAGAGAGAAAGGTAGCGGGTTCGATTCCCAATCCCAAGTAACACGATCAGAGAATAATAATATCAAAACTGTACAAAAGCCTTTTCCAGAATGTGTCAAGTATTTTTCGGAAAACCGCATCAAAATCGGTTCAGCCAAACACGAGATAAACATACAAAACCTACTTTTGTTAAGTCAGTTGAAAAAGTAGCGAGTTCGACTCCCAGATAGAGAATGCTTTAATGCATTAAGTTCGCCTTATGTACAAATTTATTTTGGTATTAAAGTTTAAATAAATAAGAATAAGAATAAGAAAAACTTTATTTGACACAAAAAAGGAAAAAAATAAAAAACAGAACAAAGGGACTTAAAACTATACACGCATATTTTTGTGCCAAAAAGGCGCCCGCTCAGCATTAATCGAGCCACGCGTGCCCCGACGCTGGTTTTCAGCGTTTTAAATAAAATATAAATAGAGCCACTTGATCATTATTGCTAATTAACATTGACTATATTAGCAAATTCGATCCGAGACCTGTAAAAGCAAGCGCTTTTTACACACCTTTTTGATAAAGTAAATAAATAAATAATAGTAAATAAATAAAAGTAAAGTACTTATTTACAGTCTTAATACTATTACAACAAAAGCCTTAGGTTGTATTTTTAGGTATTTTTAACCTGGAAACAGAACTATTCCCACCTGTCGTTCCCACCAACTGCAAATCACGCTGCAACTCCTGTGTAGTCAAGATCCAGCTTGACCGCCAATAAAAACCCAACCAGTGAAGGCCAAGTTTGTCCCGGGGGTTAAACTGCCTCATCTGAGAACCGAACCCAATACCTCCTCTTTCCTCCTCTCTCTTGGACCAAACATCCCTCCCAGCTAGCTGCAGTTCTGCCGAAGGTATGGCCGTAAACATTACCATAGATCTACGAAAGCATAGAGTAGATAGAATATGGGATTTCTAACGTTTGTGTATTTAGATTTTTAAGTAATTCTAAGTACCAGATTCAATGGTTCCTTACGTGAAACCAAAAGTTTAAGTTATAAAACTACCTTCAAAATAGTCTGATAAGGTCTGGTTTCTTATGTATATAAGGTAAAGTTTTTTTATTTATTTAACTATATTAAGGAAGATCTTGGCATTGGCATTGCACCTCATGTAAAATGATGATCAGGGCGAAGGTGGAAGAACAGAGGAACTGGCTATTTTACCTCTAACTGTTTAGTACACTACAATACTGTTAATGCAGGACCGGTCTTTGTGGAAATCCTTGGGGGAGGCCTTTGTCCAGCAGTGGACGTCTTTCGGCTGAAACGAACGAACGAACGAATGCTGTTAAATGTTATGGCGACAGACTTAAGTAAGATGGTGGTAGCCACTTATTTTACTTTAGTACTTAAGTTAAAAGGAAAATATTTTAGATCATACGATCGCATAGTAAACAGGTACAAGCTGGCAGAATATAAATGCAGATTACTATAAAATTAATAAAGAAAATAAACTTAATTAGATATCCAAAGCATCCATAATATAATCTAAGGGATTTGTAAGTGTGGTTTAGCACTTAAAATATGTTTAATCTGGCCTCTTAAAGGATTATCATTAAATTTTGATCTGGCAATTTAATAAGCCTTCGGTTAAGTTATATTTAGACTATACTCATTAAAACAGTGATAAAATAAAACCTCGTTTCTTCGAAACACATAGAAGAAAGGGTGTGAAAATCTATATCTTTCGAAGCACAGGTCACTCACTCATCACGAAATCTCAGAAACTACAAGTGCTAGGAGTCTCAAATTTTGGAAGGGGGTTCCTTTTAGAACGTATGTGCTCACTAAGTCGGGATTTTGCAAAATTCAACCCCTAAGGGGGTAAAACGGGATCCACGCGTACGAAGTAGCGGGCGGAGTAAATAGATATCAAAGATTCCTAAGTACTTACGCCCGTATTCACAAACATTACTACGAGGTCTCACAGTGCGCGTGGACGCACAGGGTGACACATGAACCAGCCACAAAGCTCTATTAAACGCTGTGCGTTCGATTTGCGGCTTCACTTAAGCAAGCATCGTTTGTGAATACGGGCGTTAGTGAAGACAATATTTTCTTAAAAAATCCTGTCATTTCTATACTTTTCTAACTCACAGAACTCCATAACACAGTCCGATCATAAAAGCGACCAAAACCGTAGATACTCCGTCCATTTTAGTTGTTGGAACATAATAAAAAAAAACCGTTATCATTAGATTAAGACGTATGATACGCTGGGCCGCGTGACGTCACAGCTTTACACCGAAAACCTGTATAAAGCCGCCATTGTATATTCAAACTTATTATCAGAAGCATAGAATCGAAATGGAATCAACAGTTGAATAGTTTTTATAGACTACTGTTTTTACGACTGGCCAGTTTTATATTGTTGTCTTACTGCTTTTTTAATTTGCAACGACACTTTTTGAGGGTTCTAATTTTGAAATGTTAACACGCTTTTTTATTTATTGCGGCGACAAGTGGCCAGTGACATTCTAGGCTTCTGTTTTTTTATGTCAAAGGTCAAAAAGTTTGTACAGCCAGCGTCAAAGTTTGGATGTCACGAACATTTCATGCTGACTGTACCACAGACCATTTAATAGTACTGGTACAGGGTACCATTGTGACTCATGTACTTTATGGTTTTTTCTCAGTAACCGGTAACTGTGAGAATTTTCAAGTGTCGAACATTACTTTTGTAATGGAATTTATGAGAAATTCACGGTATTTTCAAAATGTGAGTAACTTTTTACCTTGAAGTACCGTCGTCCATACATATTTTATTCTCTACAAATTCACCATCATAATTTCAGCCACAGGACGTCCACTGCTGAACATAGGCCTCCCTTAATGACTTCCACATCACCCGGTTGGTAGCGGCCTGCATCCAGCGCCTTCCTGCTATATTTAAGAGGTCGTCGGTCCAAAAAACAAATTACTATCTATTATTCCAATTTGTAATTACAAATTGCTAATCTATTTACAATAATTAATAATGTATCAACAGGCGATAACTCGTATTTATAAAAGCTTTGGAAATAAATCTTAAAATAACCTTCAGATCTCACCTGTAGGTACAGGGATATAAAATTAATCATTTTCATTGAAAAATAGATTCTGTTGCTATTACATAAGACTATCTAAGGGAGAGTCCGCTAATTTGGACCAGTTTTTTTCAATCCCATTTTACACATAGTTTTCTTTTGTTTTTGCTAATGTCCATGGTATATAATAAAAGATACATTATTCAACTTACTATTTCATAAGTATTAATTAACATATTGTTGTATATTTAGCACAAATCAACAAAGTACGAGTTCATAGCTTCGGTCCAATTTAGCCAACCGGTTCGATAATTTGTACCACATGGTTACTAAATTGTATTTCATTAAATTTCAAGCCTTTAAAAAAAACTATAGCAAAATATTATACGATACATTCTTAACAAATTAGGAAACGAAGAGGAACAGTAGTTAATAGCATAGACAATCGATATTGTTTTTCACGTTATCACGATTTTGAGTACAAGTTTTGTAATTCCAATTATCGTAACGCACACTTGTACCTAATCTACTTTGCCAGTCTTTTGCTTTCATTTATTGTTAGTCAAACGTAACTACGCTATTATAACTTCAAAATATGATTTACTAAAAAAAATTCAAAATCCTTTGATAAAGTTCCATACAACTTGATGTGGTACAATTTAGCCGACTAGGTGATTGTGCTTTTAAAAAATCGGTAAAAAATATA